GGTCTAAACCTTTTAAAAATTCTCTTAAAGACTAAGCAATCACATCCTAATTATAATCTGAATATATACATGTAATTCATATCAGACATTAGTGATCAGAGCAATGTTTGGGTTGAGCTATAATGCTGCTCTGCTGAACCCAGGTTTGCATTTTGTAGAGTAAAAATAGAAAATTGCATGACTGGGTCCCAAAATATGTTGAGTCCCTGAAGTACTCAAAGGGCAATAAATAGTCAAGATTTGTTTTAAATCAAAACTCAGGCTCAACCATCAAACATGCGCAGCCCCAGTTTATAGCTGGCATAAAAATAAATCTGTTCCCCTGACTACAAGTGATAGCATCTCAGTCTTTAGCTCCATATCAATATTCGTACACACACTTTCTGTTTGTCAAAAGTCAGTTCAAAGTTCTGTTTAACCAGAAGAGGCTGTGATTTTCAACTCTGCCAGAAGCAAGAAAAATAATCACACTGCGTGCTGGCTCTAAGGAGGAAGAAATCTGCTTCCAGGCCAGTAGGATCTTGTGGACAAAAACAGTCAGAGCGATCTGAGAACCAGCTGGAAATGTTTACAATCCCAAATGTTGAGGGGCATGCAAACAAATTTACTCTGTTTATGTGATGGACATGAGCTGTGTCAGCAGACGGTGCAGCCCAAGACTCCGTTGTATTCATTCCGTCTTAGGCCAACTCTGAACACAAGTCTGAAGAGCCTGGTCATCACACCACCACCAGTGGTTCCTCATTCCATCCTGACCTTTCTGTGACCTCTATTATATTCAGTGGCGACTGATGAGCTGCTATAAGAAGTAAGAAGTTCAATAAAACTTCTCTGATGAATTTTGTGTCATAACCAGAACTGGATCAGAAGTCCACATCCTATTTGATATCTAGTCCCCAATGATGTCACTCCTTTTCCTTGACAATGTACTATCCTATTTCTAGATTTAGAATCCCTTGAATCCATTTCTGTTTAAAGGGGCAGTATTATGTAAAGTTTGAGAAATCCTTTAATCTCCATTGGAACTACTCAGCTCTGCAAAATGCCTGGGTAGACCTAGCTCTCTGTCTTCAAGATGAAGCTTCTGCTTAGATCTGCAGTTTCCACCTCCACACACTCAGCTCCTTCAGACTAGCTGTCAGCAATTAGCAAACACCTGGTGGAACTGTGGATCTGCTGAGCTCATTATAGGAACTACTTCTTAGTGAAACTTTGGTAAAAACATTGTTAAAGGCTTAATAGAGGAGCCATGTTGTGATGACTTCCTGAATGTTTAAAGCAGATAATATTGCTGATGTTGTGATATCAGCAATATATGTTGATATCACAACCATTCTCTTTTATATTGAATGATTTAATTTTACATTATTGCCACCATAGGAGCCATATTTTAAAACAATGTTTTACAAACAAGAGGTGATTAGTCCAGTTTTTTTCCTTTTGTTGAACTTTTAGAAATCACAGCAGCTGCAGTGTACCACAGTGAAGGCATAATAATGCTAAAAAAAACAGGGCAAGAACAGTTCAGAATCACTTGTATTCTTCTCTTTTTCTCACTCTCTCTGTCGACTTTGTCAGCAGAGCTTTGTGAACGGAAGTGTTTCACTATTTAAAAAATCTGTTGTGGAGTCTCCTTCGTTGTGTTGCTTAGAAAACATCTGGGATTTCCTTGTTCTGCTTCTTATGGAAGCCATCAGGACCATCCAAATCATCATAGCCTTATGTTATTTTATTCAAAATACTAGGGGGAGTTTTGGAGTTGACAGGGTTTCTATATTCTATTCTTTATTCATAGTTGTATAATAAACATGTCGCTACAAACACTTTGTTCTCTGACATCATACCATTTGATGTGCCAGGATCACAAGCCGCGAGTTCTTTCAGACGCTGCAGAATAAAAGCGACGCTGGAGCCAGCACTGAACTCTGTCATCATTCTGATGCAGCCAGTTCTTCCAAATGAGAGTTTTAAATATGAGGAACAGCATGCTGTGCCATCCTCAGTATGTTAACATCTGCATCAGATTCTGCTGATTTGGTTCTCAGATAAATGAGACAAACTTGGGGTGAATTTGAATAGAACTGAACTGAGTTCAAGTGGAATGGCAGGTAGAGCTGCAGCCTTAATGCACTGGGCTTTCCTGGATTATTCTTGTTTCTTCTGTATGTCTTTGTTTTTCTTGTGATGGACTGGTGTTTTGTCCAGGGTATGGAGCACCTTTCATGAAACTTCACATGAAACTCTGGAAGTAGTTGTAGAAAATGAACAGATGAACTGAACTGAATTATCTGAGCACATTTTAGAACTTAAACATGAACCAACTGCAGTCGTCCCTGGCAGTCTGAAACAAAATCCATTGAGAAGCTTCAGCTCGGTCAAAGTTCTGCAGCTAAGAGGAAACGTCACATCAGACCCATATCTTGCTTCCTTGACCTTTTAGAATAGATTTTAAGCTTCCTATTGCTGGTGGTGGTCAAACGTTTTGTCACATAGGCCCAAATCATCAATAATTATTTAAAGCAGATTTGGGAGAACTAAAATCTGCTTTTAAGGAAAGTCACCAGATGGGCTGTTTAATATAAAATTTAAGAGAAAGTAAAAAAAAAAATGCTATTGCAACTGTAAGAACATTTTAATCTTTTGATAATTATATTAACTTAATAAGAAATAAAAACTATCTGTCTGCATCAATTTGTGCTGGTGCACAAAAATAACCCGGAGGTCACTTGTGACCCCGGGGCCAAACTTCTCACATTCCTGGATTACAAACTTCCTCTGTAATTCTGGGGTGTAAAAAAGTGCTTGCCCTCCTGATTTCCTATTTTGTCCACGATTGTTACACTTCAGTGTTTCAGAACATCAAACCAATTTAAATCTTAGTCAAACATAGCACAAGTAAACACAAAATGTAGTTTAAAATGATAAAACTCCAAACCTACATGATAGCCTGTGTGGAAAAAGTATAACTGATTTAAAATATTTGAAGAAGAAAAGAAAATCTTTTATTATAGGGGGGGGAATGATGTGTTTATTTGCTCTATAAATTCTGTTTGCTTCATTATTCATCATCCCTCAGCGTCAGTTTGAGGAATGCTACATGCTAACATATTCCAATCTGCCGCAGACAAATAAAATCAGCCAAAATAAACTTCAGCTTTAACAACACATAAAGTCTCAACTCATTTTTTCATTTAACTGAAAATGTTGTCAAAATCCCCTCATTTATAAATGAAACACTTGAAAATTCACTGAAATCAGACAGAAAGTTACATTTAGGACGCTAAACCAGAATTTCAATCTTCCTTTGCTGTTGATGCTGTCTGGCCCTTTTGATGGGTGTAGAGCTCTGATAATCACAGACATTTTTAGAATCTAAATCCTTGGCCTCATTCATTATAACAGCAAGCTTTTCTTTCCGGATTATGCTGTGCATAGATTCCAGGCTGGTGAGTAATTGTTTAATTTCATATTTCCCCAGCAGTGGCATGTTACAATTAAACTGAAGCAGTGCGCTCGCTCCTCTTTTATTTTCGACAAACAGCAGTAGAGAATACGTAAGTGCTGCGGCGTCATGTTGTATGTGAGATGAACAAGGCTGGCAGCCAGACGGAGGATGCTAATGGTTCATGTGTCGCCACGGGTGTTGTGAGTGACGACACGCTGCTCTGCATGTGTTCAGAATGATTCATTTTTCATGCATTGTAAATTTAGATTTATTTGTCTGTTAGTCATTTATTGAAGACGTACTGACAAATATCCTCTCTTTACTCCAAAGTCATACAGAAATCCAGCAGTTACGATGTCATCTCATGTCCCCATAGCGGCCACATCTGCTTTTTCCAGTAATTTGCGAACAGTGATCATAAGGGAATCAAAGTGGAGTTTGTATGACTGCAGCTCCTTTATATTTCATGATTCTATCAGGAATTATGAATGGGCTGTTACCCAAAGTACTCAAAGGATTATGTTTGAGTGATTAACTGAGGCCTTAGAACTGTGTCATAACTAGATTAAATGAAAGAATTAAACATTTCTCCATTAACAGCTTTGTCCCAATCTTCCGTTGATGATTTTCCAGTTAGCACAGCAGAGCATTCAGTCTCAGCTGCAGTCAGATCAGAATGTGTACACCTCAAACAAGCGTCCCCTTTCACACTGTTAGCTTAGCTGAACAAAAACATTTCTCTGAGAGAGACGGGGTTTTTTATGGGGGCATATTAGAGTCAGTGTATATATAAAACAAAAATGAAAAGTAAATTTCTCAAAAAAACTCAGAAATTTTTGGATTAATCTCAGAAATTTGAGGGAAAAAAACTTGGAAATTTCTTTCAAAAGTCATGGCAACCTTCAATCTCCTTCAGACTAGCCAGCAGCAAATAGCAAACACCTGGTGGACCTGCACATCTGCTGAGCTCATTATAGGAGCTACTTCTCAGTGCAATGCTGGTAAAAACGTTGTTAAAGGGTTAATAGAGGAGCCATGTTGTGATGACTTCCTGAAGACGTAGTGTCAGAGAGCAGGAGACAGAGGCCCAATTTCAAGGCATTAAATTACAAAGTCAAATTTCTTTAAGTCATATTTGCTATGTACACTGTGGAAACACAACTTCTGTGTAGAGCAGAGCTTAGCCGAGTGGAGCAGAACAGACAAAGTCCTAATACAGAAATACAAACTTGTGTGTGTGAATGATTAACCTGTGTGTGTGTGTGTGTGTGTGTGTGTGTGTGTGTGTGTGTGTGTGTGTGTGTGTGTGTGTGTGTGTGTGTGTTTCCCAGTAATGTACCACTGACTTTTCCAGGGTGCACTGTAAAGATGGATGGTAATGGGAACAAAACCCATACTGCACAGATAACATAATGTTTACACCTTTTGTATCATGATGAGTATTTAAGGTCACCTTTCATAAAGAAAAGGAATTTGAAACATGGAGAATTTTCAAGGTGACTATGATGTAATATAATCCAATCCCAGAGTTTTTTTTTTTTTTTTTTTTTCCTAGATGTATGGCACCATGTACAACACAGGAAAGCATGTGTCATTGCGGCCAGACAAAACACATCTGGTGAACATCTCTGGGGGCCCCCTGGGTTACAGCTACCGACTGGAGGAGGTCCGCCTACACTTTGGGAGTGAAGACGCTCTTGGTTCTGAGCATCTCCTAAACGGACAAGGATTTCCTGGAGAGGTGAGATGTAAAACCTGAGCTCTGCTTTTGTATCATAATGACCATTTCTATCAACAAATTACAGTAAAAGCATAAATCTGAACCTTGTGTCGTTGGTCTCCCACTGCTACAACTTACAGTACTTGTCACCAAAACTTTAGGCATAATTTACATCAAAGTATCCCTCACAGTACCCTGCTATATAGACAACATGACTAATCTGACGGTCTTATCCAAACACAATGAAATGAAGATTTGTTAGTCTGAGGCTCTGACACTGAACACACCTGGGTGTTGCAGGTAATCCATGCTGTTTTGCTGTTTGTATGAATGTTTTGAGAATTGCACTTATTGTTCGCAAATGTCAGAAATGATTTGAAAAATGCACCAAAGTGACTGAGAAAAACTGTAGTATTGCACAGCTGTTAATGGTATTAAGGCAAAATAGAAGCAACTGAATAACAAGAACTCACATTACAGCGGTAGGCTATAAGAAGAACAGAGTGGTGAGCCTATTTTTACTTAGCCTACCACTACAAATGCTGAGGCATGTAGTGTACAGAAGTCCAGACATTCTGCAGTCAGTCGCTGCAGACTCCAAACTTCATACAACCTTCAGATTAATTCAAGAGCTGTGAGCAGAGACGGTTTTCTTGACTGAGCACCAAGTGCAATGTAATGCTGGGGTGTGAAGTACACCACCACTGGACTCTACAGCTGCAGAGACATGTTCAGTGGAATGATGACTGATGTTTTTCAACCCAGTGGATAAATCAGAGCTGCTCTCAGCTGCAGAGTTGAGTGGAAAGAATTCTTACGATGTTTCTTGCTCACGTTGGCGCATTTCTCGAATCATTTACAACATTTGCGAAACAGTAAGTGCATTTCTCAAAACTATTTGTACAAACAGCATAACAGCATGGATTACCTGAAAATCCCAGTTTCTTTCTCAGAATACTGAGGCCATTCCACAAAATGAAATATCTGTATCAGCCAACATGTTCATGCCTCAGAATGTCAAGGCCCTGCTTCATTGTGTTTGGATGAGACAGTCATAAGAGGGATGTTCTGTTGTAAACTAAAATTTTGATGACAAGTATTGTAAGTTGTAGTTGTGGGAGATAAATGGCAAGAGGCTGGACAAGATTCACATTTATGTTTTTACTGTAAATTGATGACAGAAGAGGTGATTGTGATACAGAAAGAAAAAGACAGACAGCACTGCAGAGGACAAAGGAAAAAAGTAGAAATGGAAACACAGGACAAACCCCTGAGGAAGACTGTACATGCAGTGCTGTAGAAATCACAGTACAGTTTTTCTGTTCTGCCTCCTAAATTCTCTACCTCCCTCCTCTTCCTCCTCTTCTTCTCTCTGGCTGTTGACTCATCCGAATCTTTGTCCTTCCATTGTCAGAAATGTAACATCATGTTGTGCTCTGGCTTTATACACCTTATGCTAACCAACTGATGGTTCATGAGATTCAGAAAACTGGCTGATCGTTGGTTGATCTAACACTTCACACATTTCAGAACATTCGAGAAACTCAGGATTCACCTGGAAGCAAGTTATCAGTTCAGGACAGATTTAGAACAAACACCTAATGGATTTATGTAGAAATATAATTAACATAATATTATAACACCTTGTTCAAACATTTTGCATGCAAACACTTATGCAATGAAAATATGCTGAAATATTGTCGAGGTCTAGACTATTCAGACCTGTACACAGCAAATTCAGAAGTGTCAGATTTCCAGTGCAAGTGTTGTATGTTAAAACTACAGTGTTAATTCAACAACATGAGTGTTAGTTTCCCTAACACTCACTAAAGAGTTCCAAAGAGTTAAACAAAAAGCAATCCAGTCCAGTGTTGATTTCTAAATTAACTCCAACAGTCTAACTCAACACTCAGTCTGGTGTTGATTTAGAAATTAACAGCAGTCAGTTCCTCCCACAATTGTAACATATTTGTGACATCACATCAGGGAAGGAGCAACAGATATGGTAGAGGCTGCAATTGGCCCCAAGCATGGACCTACAGGGGCCCCACATGGGAGTTAGTAGATGACTTCAGGGATCCAAGTTTTCTTTATAATATTTAATGAGAACTATAACCCCAATAGGTTATATAGTAGGGTGCCCGATTGTTGACTCATGGTTGCTAAAAACTTTACAAGACCGACTGATTTTAGTGACTAAGTGGGTGTAAAATATTGAATAAAATGTTGTGCTACATGACTGGCTTTATTTTCACTCTTATATTTAACTTCATGACACACAAAACTACAAATGAATCGTCCTTATTGTCTCCAGGTGCATTCTGGGTAAAGCTCGTCACCAACGTCACCATCAGTCACTTGGCAACAAATGGCAAACTAGCTAGAGCATTTCTACGGACTACGTTAACATGTTTTGAATTTGTGTTGTTTCATCATTAGTGACCAGTCGCCCGATGTTTCTGTTCTTCTCTTGGTTTGTTGTACTTCATGTCAGATGGACTTCAAAATGACAGAGTCGCTCTCTGTGGTGATGAAACTTGTTAGCTCCGCTGTTGCGGGCATGTCCATGTTGTAAAGTTAAATTATCATGAGCTTTATTATTTGGGCCCGGTCATTAGTCCCACCACCCGGCCGACGCCGTCTTGTTCCGCTACTGCGTCACATGTTTGCCTGAGGAGCGAAGGCAGCAGTATGGCGTCTTGTCTGGAGCTTATTACAACAAGGTAAGTTCCATGTTAAAACGATCATGTTTTTCACTATTTTTTATGGAGGCATTATTTTTCCATTTACGCAAGAGTATCGATTCATATACATAGTTCGATTAACGTACGTTTATTTGTTTGGATATCACGGTATATACGACTGTTTATTATCTTAACCAAACATTAAAACTGTCAGGAGAATCTGGAGGCCATTTGAGTTAACATTATTTAGCTGCGGGTCGTTTTCTTTAAGTTTTTGGCTGTAGACTGCAAAACGGGGGAGTGGCTGTGCTGGACCATTGGCTTGATCTATGCCACAGGTGTCAAACTCCAGTCCCGGAGGAACACTGCCCTGCAACATTTAGATGTGCCGCTGCTGCACCACACCTGAATACAATAATTAGGTGAGTAGCAGGACTCCGGAGAACATATCTACACAGTGAGGAGGCAATTGAGCCATTTGACTCTGCTGTTTTGTATCTATGGGACATCTAAAAACTGCCAAAATGTTTTTTCTTTGTCAGTGTGTCATGTTGGTGATTGAAGCCTGTTATGATGACTCCAACACATTTCTTCAGACAGGTTGGCACGACTTTTAATGCTATCCAAAAAATTTTCTATAAGCTGACTAATTTCTTTAGTAATTATTTCTGACTTTTTTATGCTTTATCTTGTAAACCAGGTGGGCAGAGTAATTTGAATCAATATGATGGTGACACACAGAGGTGAGTCTGATTAGTTCACACTTTTTA